GAAATAAAGCTCTACTCTTTTCATTCTAGCACTATGAGATCATATTAATATTAAAAAGGGGCATGCCCATCTCTAGAATTATAGCTCAAGACACTTTTCTTTAAAGATCTGATGCATAAATCAAAAAGATAATTATTATGGCATCAAATAAAGCAGTTATGGAGCTAGATTACCAATTCCTACTACTGAGGTACTATGTCTCAGCTATACCAAAGGATCTAGCTTTGACAGAATGGGAGCAAATCAGTGAAATTCTCATTCAAAAAAGGTGCGTTGTCAGCTCTCACAGGAACCAATTCCCAGCTCTGGAATAATTGAAATGGATAGTAAAGGAGGTAGGATGGTGGAGGTTAATTCCCAGGACAATTTCCAGGTTACAGCTGAAATGCCCTGTGACACTACACCATCTTCACAACTCTTTAATGATTTCTCAGCATAAGTCAACACCAACCAACCAAGCAGTCCCCATCTAAAAATGCCACCTTACTGCCACTGTGGAAAGGACAAGGTCACGCACTACCAGGTTCCATTTTCATTATCCGGGGAAAAAAGTGAACAAGATGGGAGAGCTGTGTTCAAAAATACTTGAAGCAGTTGATGAAAGAATTTGCAGTACGAGTTCCTTAACCAACTTGCTTTACCTTGCAGAAATTGCTCACCCTCAGTGCTGCCCCAACTGTCAAAATCAGCATATTCATAATTCCTCCCAGGTTCAGCTGCAGAACGCTTTGATATCCCTTTGATGAAAGGCTCGGTGTGCTGCTGTTCCCCCATCCCACACCATCTCGTTCACATAGGGTTTTGGATGCTAATTAATGCTTATTACAGAAGAAGAAAGCAGAAAGCAAAGAAGTGAGGAGTGCCTTTTATTAAAGCTAATTTCTGAGGCCAACCCACACTTCCCACTGCTGGCTACAAGGCTCCTGATACTATTAACTCTGTTCGCTCGACCCTGCATTACAGCCTTTTCATACAGCATGAAACCTTTGATTAGGTACTGATATAGGCGAGGAGATAACTGCTCATAATGTGGAAGCTGGGATAGCCCAACTACGTTTTACATCCTTCTTGTTCCAATTGCAAACCAAAAAAATATTTCCTCCATCTTTTTCCTTAAAAACAATCAGTTTTCCAGTCAAAAGCCAACGAGACGATGATATAAAAATGTCGATTTCAACTCAGCCACTGCTACCCAGATGCAGACCGGCGAGAGGGAAGGAAGTTCACACTGACAAAATAAACGCCTTCGGTAGGCTACTAAACACCTCACTCGGGCAAAACTTTCTGTAGCAAGGGAAGTTTTTGTTCTTAAAATTTTCCTTTTTTGTTAGAAACTGGTGCTCTTGAAATTATCCAAGCCAAGCGTAACACAGAAGTGTGGCTACGCAATGGCAATAACACGCTAACGTATGCTCTAGACCCTGGTATGCAGAACTACAACCTGACAGAGAGTATCAGAACTAGCACAAAGCTTATTACTCAAAATAACTCTTGCAATAGTTAAAACTCTCTTACCGATCAACACCGGCCAGGGAGATTTTACATCAGCCTGCTTCCTCTTCATAAATAAATATGTAAAAGGCTGGTCTAGCTTTTGATGTGTGTTTAAACACAAAAGGTAACTAAACAAACATTTTTAAAGTACTTTGATGTAAAGAATAATGGAAACGATAGTCTGCACACATTAGAAAGTGTTTGGCTAGGAAAGGACTGTTTCACTATCAGCAAACAGCACAGACCAAACTAACCAGATGATTCATTAAAAAAAAAAAAAAAATCCTCCCAAAACACCAAAGCTGGTTGGTTTGGAATAGACAGTTACTTCTCTTTAAGACAAATATGTATTTTTCAATATAAGCTCTGCATTGTGGGCTTTAGCTAGTTTCAGATCTACACATATTTCAGAGGAGTTCAAAGCAGCACTGAAAATAAAAATGCCAATACAGCAAACAAATCCAAATGGAAAAAAAAAATGAACACAGAATTAGTTTCTGTGCTTCAATGGCAGTTTCAGAACAGAACACCGTCTTAAATATTTATTACTGTTAACAGAAAGGTATGCTAATGCTGCTCTGAAGCAAATTGGCAACAGAAAGCCAAGCCCAAGACCTGCAAACTGCTGATTTTACTCTAGCTCGGTTTCCAGCTTCTTTTTTTTTTTTTTCCTAAACTTGATTTAGGAAATCAGGTTTGTGGTTCAAGAGCATGTCAGAGCACAACTCTCCCAGTGATCTGGGTGCAGGTGGATCGTAGATAAAGAAAAAACAAAGACTGAGAAGACAACCTTGGGCTTAAAGTACAGAGATAACAGAGGCAAATAGTAACAGTACAGTCTGGATGTCACAGCGTCATGTAAAGCACCCATAAGGTTTGCAGAAGTCCTGCTGCACACGCAAAAGAAAGAACAGCTTTGAGCAGCCACACCATCTAAAATCCAGAAATGACCATGAATTCAAAGCTTTTTCACTGAATAACTGCATTTGAGAGGATCCAAGAGAACTTTTTAAAGGAACTAAGCTCTAAATACACAGCTACAAAGAGCCTAGGAACCTAACAAGCCAGTAACTACAGCAAGAATGATGCAACTATGCACTTTTGAGAAAGTCCACTTGGATTTGTTCTGACTCTCTAGGCTCTAACAGCTTTAATCAATGTAGCCCTACATTTCGTACAGTTACAAGATCACCATTGTAAAAAGAGGATGTTCCCATGCTACCAGCAAGGTTATGGGAAACAGCATTGTAAGCAACGCAACAAAATATCCTGAAGGAAAAATCGAGTGTTCTTAGCTGTATAGACAAGGATTTAATCGACCCCAGTTCCCTATGAATGTATGACGTTCATTTGTAAGGGTGCATGCAGGTATGTCATTCAGTTCAGATTAAAACTGAGTTGTAATTATAAAGTTGAACTATATATAACGACAGCATGCAATGATACAAACGATACGCGGTTGCCCTCTGGTTTCCAATACTTGAGTTAAATGGATTTGGAGAAGAGAGAGGCAAGAAGGGAAGCTTCAGCATCCAAACCAGTTAGCAGGAATAGTTCGGGGCATACTTGCTCAAGACCATCCCCAATTTTTACACGTACAATCTGTGTGTTTGCCAGTTTGGAAAAGCAAGCAAAAGGTCTTTTTCCTAACCAGAATAAAACAAAAAGGACTGAAGTGATTTTGTAAACTCAACATGCATCTGTTACTGCATAATCCTCCAGACCTCTCCTGTAGGTGTCTGTTACAACGAAGAACATCATGGGAAATTCACAAAGATCCAAGCAAAAGCAAAGTAGAAATAATGGAAAGTTAAACTGCAGTCTAGAATATGTGCTTGGACCACTTTTTAACCAATTTATTCACTGTACGCACTTAAAGAAGCCATCCAGAAAATACACGCTAAAACTTTAAACTATTAAATTACTCTATTTTAATTACTCTTATTTTTCTGATAAATAATTAAATGCCTTTATACCTCTTTTAAGTCCATCAAAAAGGTGCTTTTTACTCCCTTCCTGGCCGTGTACCTTGAACCCATAGGAAAGACAACAGTAAGCAGACCTCGGGCTATTCTTCCTCCAAACGCAGGTTCATTCGCAGCCTCGGTTTTGCTTGTTATTAGGAAAGACCTTTTTGCAGAGCCTGAAGATTGGTAAGCATGAGCAACCTTACTGCAAAGCACTGTGAGAAACATCACACAAACAGGCTGAAAGAAAAAAAGAAAAAATGTCTTCTAGCAGGCATGCAGAATCTTTTTGATTTATCACAAAAGCAGAAGTTGTTTATAGCAGAAAGATGCTGCTCAATTGACAGAGCCTTGCTGTCAACTGCCAAGCTGCTAACTCTCATAAAGACCCGTATTATGCTACCAACCCCAATGCTTATTGATGCGAATCGTCTTCTTAACCTAAAAGAGGATATCCACAGTCGTAAGCGTATGTCAGTAAGGTTTTTTCAAAATTCCTTCACCTAAGATATCTGTGGTCACACTGATTTTGAGAGAATGATGAAGGAAAATTGCTTGTAATTTTATTTTAAACATTTTAAAAAGATAAGCATGAAATAAAAAGTGACATTTCCTTAGCGCATTAGCATACAAGTTACAAAAGCAGTATTAAAAAGCACTTTACATTTAAAAATTACCTCTATCTTAAAATAAGAAATAACTTGGATATGGCTAACACCTGAAATACAGTCCGTGCACACAAACAAGGCCTGATTTTGAAACATGAATGCACGAAAATGTGTATGCATGTTTATGTAAGAACTTTTCCCAATAGCTATGTTTGCACATCCAGGTGACTACATATATAAACCTAATCTTCATTTTTCCAAAGACTGAATGATTGATCACTTGTACCCACAACAGGGGTTAGAAAGACACGTTCATACCAAAACTGCACAAGCACAAACTAGTTATTTTGAAACCCTGCTGAAAAGGTGGGGCTTAAATTAGCAGCAACTTTAAAACCTGGTTAAAAATTTATTTGAAATAACCTCCATTTGCCTTACTGTTGCAAAGATCATACGAATAAACCATGAACTTCCTAACACTGAGAGAGAAAGGATTAATTTTTACTAAAATAAACTATGTATTCAGAAACAAGCAAAACACTGAATAACTGCAGCTGCTAACAGATCACAAAAGCGGTTTTAACTTTTGCTGTCATCAGCTGATATGACTTTTTACTGGTACTAAAACATACACAGATCTAAAATTTTGCTTAGTAAATGTTATTTTGTAAGAGATTTTTCTTTCTATAAATACTACACTGGTTCGTACAATATTTATGCCTAGTTCTGAAAGACTTAACAGAATTACCTTCATTACAGTTCCGAATGACTACGATATTGAGTTAACTAAATTTTCTTAAAAAGTTTTATCTAATTTTGACTTTGAATTTTTATTTTTCAATATTTTTAATTGCTTCCTACTTTTTGCATATGCTTTCCAAACACAAATTTGGCTGTCCACTCATGCCATCAACGTAGTATATTTCAGACTTCATGACTTCTTAAGCCTTCGCAGTTTTAACTTCCTGAGACCATTTTCATTTTCATTTCTTCTTTTTTGGATCGGCTTCTCCAAAGAAAGAGGCTGCAGTTCTAAACAAGATGATGGCATCACAGGCAATTCTTCAGTGGTTGTGCTTGGCTCATTTTTCTTTGTCTGTACTATACTGTTTCTCACAGAAAGCGGCCGGGAGAGGTTTTTTCCCAAAGTTAGTGACTCCTCATCAGACGTATTAGTCTTTGCCACGTCTTGTTTAGAAAACAAACTGGAATTAAGTGGGGTCTTCTCCTCCAGGACTGGACCTAAACAATCATCAGCGCACTTACTCATTTGTGTATGGCTAGGAATTAAAGAAGCCCCTTCAGACGATACTTTTTTAAAATGCTCTAACTTTTCTTCTGAAGCACAGCTTTTCTGTTGAGCCTGTGTTTTGGTCACTTTTTGACTTTGTTTTGGACCTAGCGGTGCTGACTCATAGCTACAAGGGGGGTTCTCGCGTAGAAGACTCGACTTCAACCACTCCACAGAGTGAGGTTTTTGCTGGCTGCTAACATCATCTGGCTGTCTCTGATTAACATAATTTTCCAGCTCTAAAACAGGAAGCTCCAAGTTGCTCTCAGCTGTATTTATGCAGTCCTTTAGCTGTCCTGTACTCCCACATTGCACTTCAGATTGAGGATTGAGAGAAGTTTGACAGTCGTTCTTTCTGTTCCCTGTCTGTGAGTCCACTGAGCCAAGATACACTTTCTTGGAGTCCTTGCTGATCTGAGGTTTGCTTGTGCTACTTTTCCTTGGTTTTGTCCTTTTCACGCTGCAATAAAAAGGAATTTCGGTGTTAAATTAAAAAAGAATCTTCACTGCCTCAATCTGCCCTTGTTACAAACTCTGAGACACCACTAGGGCAACCCTCTTTCTGAATGTGGAAAAAAACCCCGTAGATCATATTGACAAGCAGTAATGTTTGTCTAGCGTGAATAATATCAAGTGTTATCCATCTGATTTTCCACTGCACTAGGGGAACCCTATTTATTAATGACTAAGCCATGAAGGAGTTCACATTCTATTCCAAGAGGCAGAGCTGTATTCATTACAGATGTTAAAGGTCAACACTGCATAAGTATATTGAATTCCTTCCCAAACTGGCTAGATAAAATAGTATTTCCAGTGCCTAAATGATTTCAAACCATTCCCATATATTCACATGCATAACATATATCTAAAGAATAGAGGGGGGCAGGCAAGGAGAGGCAGCATGTGTGTGTCTGTGTGAGAGTTTCTAATCTCTATTTTAGAATGTTCCTCTGGAATTTTTCCCAGGACATTTCAAAGCATTACTTTAAAGTTAACCACTACTCATCTAATATCAAGCCCGTTCATCTGGGAAGGACTTAGGTAATGCAAGTAGATGATATTCTAAAAGGAATTATACAGGAAAACGGAATCATAAGGGACATGATGCATGAATAGAATAGAATTCTGTGAATTCTGTGATGGAGTGTCAGTACATAAACACTCCCCGGCAATGTGTTACCTACAAATCTAGATTTCACACAGGCTATAAGATGAACTTTATGCACATGTACTGTAGCTGCCTGTGTAAGACTTTGAGTCTAAAGACATCGCTACAGATCATCCTGTGCTGGCTGCTTTCTGTTGCTCTGCTGATACCAAGCAGTTCCCAGGTTGCAATATCTGACTCTTCAGAAAGGGGTCTCTTCCACAATAGGTAAAGCTGGCATACCTCCAAATCTAATCTCATTTCTAAAGACAACACAGATGAGACAACATGGGTAAAAAGAAAACTTGCCAGGGTTCACAGCAAATCCCTGATTCCAGAGTTGATTTGGGGCTTGTGCCAGTAAGAATGGCATCCTGGTACAGCAGAGGGCCAGTGAAATGTTCAGCTGACCAACCAACCCTCCCCATCCACTACACCAGGAACACTCTTTAATTGTGACCAAAGACCCAGACTAATGTCACTGCAGGCTCTCAAAATGAACAAAAAAATGTATTTGCAAAGTGTTTTTCACCAGATTCAAACATCGCATATTTATTTTGGCTCAGAGCTTCTCTCAAGGAAAAAACACCCCATGTTTTTATTCTGCCTAGTGCTATGCGAGATATGTACATGGGTTGCAATAGCTTTTTTCTCGACGTACAAAACGACAACCATCATTTTATACGCTTATCCACACTAGAGTGGATAAGCTACACTACACTAAGTAGTCTCTTAATAATTTAAAATAATCTTTTGTAAAGAAGTTTATATTATTTGAAATTTTATAACATAGGCTAGATTCTGTTTACCCAAATTTTACCAGATTATAAATTTAACACCTTAGAAAGAATAGTGACATACATTTCTTTCAAGATGTCTTGCTTTATCTGTTCGTTCAGACTAATCTTAAGCTTCCCGTTCTCAGCAGACTCAGTAAAATATTCAGACGTCCCACTGGAAAGTTCTTCTTTCTGCACCAAAAGAAAATATAGGTTTAAAACATCGAGCTATGATTATTCAACATAAAACTCCATTTCTAATATTAAGACTTACAGATGTTCTTTATTATTTTGATCTGAGCAGTCTAAGAGAAACAGAATTATTTTTAATCTTTTAATAGTTGGTAGTCTAGTCAGTTCCCTCCCCTTTCAGACTCCCAACGAACATATTTCATATGCTAAAACATACCGCAAACAAACAAGACTGCAATGTAAAGGATGAAGCTTTCCAAACCATCTGAGGAAACTGTTGGCAAATATTTGACATCTTTGTGGCTCAAACTGTGACAAATGCCAGGAATCTCTCTTGCAGACAGGAGCATGTTTGTCAGTTGTTTTTTTTCTGAAGAGACTGACTGGCGCAGTGGTCTATACACTTATTCTCAGAAGAATTCCCATAATTTTCCATACTTACCAAAAAATATACAGTGTTATTTGCTCGTTTAAGAAGGCAAGGGTTAAAACTTTTAATACTAACATTCAAACGCTCGCAGCTTGTAGTGGTTGGCTACTACAGGACAACAAGGGAATTCTTTCTGGTCTCAGCTAACAGCAGCAGCATGGTTTTATATAATACAAGATTGGGGTGAGAGGGAGGGAAGGAAAATGCTCTTTTTCTTCAAGCTGTGAGCATTTCCTTTCATGATGAAACAATCTCAATGAGAGAAGGGCCATTTGCTGACTTCACTATTAACTACCACATACTTCAAAACAGTATTATCTCTGAGGCTATGGAGAGGAGAGAAAAAAACGTGGTAAAGTCAAGAAGAGAAGAGGCTTTGTGCATCTCCTTTTCTTTGATAGCATTTTTCTTCATCAGCCTGCATGATCCAACTTCTGATCAGGGCTCATCAAGTGTAGGGAGTGCTTATTTATACCCTTTCTTGCTCCACACTGTGAAGCTAGCACACTGGAGCCAGGCAGCATGAAAGACCTGAAGAAAGTAGAGAGGCCAAAGCATGTACATGACCGCTGCCTGGAACGCCACTCAGGAACCTGTCACTTACAGGGAATTAAGTCCTGCCCATTTTTATTTTTATTG